TAGGGCGTGTTGGGGCAGTTTCATAGAGCTCAGCCTCCCACTGAGCTCCATCCTGGATAAACACAGCTACTGCCCAGGGCTCCTCATCTAGATGGGAAAGAGGAGCCAGACGCACAGCAAATGCTCCTTTCCATCAATCTTTCCAAATAGAGGAAGAAGGTTTGTGTAAACCTTACTCATCAGATCCTGGAATACAGACAGAAAGCTAAGAGGTGAAACTTACTGGCGCAGACAGCAGAACTCTCTTAAAACCTCTTGCAACCAACAGCAGCTTCCTGCTGGAATACCGTGCTGGTGTGCTTCATGCAGCTCAGGAAATGAAGGGTCAAAATCCCACTTCCCTGAGTAACTCCCTTCACTTTCAACCCAGGATGACAGCAGTATCCCCTTAAAGAAGAAAACCCCTCCAGCCAGGCCATTTTATCCTCAGCACGTTCTCCCACCAACAGCCACCCTGCTTCTTTTTCCTCCTGTGCACAGGTGTATATATGTGGTGGGTTCAATGGGAACGAGTGCCTCTCCACAGCTGAAGTGTACGATGCTGGAACAGATCAGTGGACCTTGATATCCCCAATGAGAAGCAGAAGAAGTGGAGTAGGTGTGATTGCATATGGAAACCAAGTGTACGCGGTAAGGATGAAGTGGCAGCTCGGCCATAATGAACCCACACTGCTGCTGCTGTTTGTTTCTTTAATGCAATGAAGTTCTGTTAATCTGCATTTCCTAGACTAATTTTCGCGCTGGCCATTCACTTCTAAGTGAGATTTAGGGAAGAAAGGCAAGAATGGCTGAAATCCCCTGTAGAATACTGTCACCCTCACATTCTTCATTATGAAATAAGTACAAAACATGTAAAGAGTTGCAGCAAAGAAATGATTCTGCTGCTGATAAAAGCGTTTAGCAGCACAGTGCTGCTTGGTCCTGCTTATCCACATACTGCGTTTAAGTTCAGTGTAAATGTAATGACCAAAATACTTTTGGATGCTCCAGAACGAACAAGGGAGCAGTCTGCCATAAGCAAGCATTGCATTTTGTCAGTTGAGCGGCGCTCCAACTCACATAGCAGAGTAGGCCAAGTTAAAATCTGACACGTGCACAGCACCATTCAGCTGCCTCCCAAGGGGGAAAGGCCTCTTTCAGCGCTGTGCCTTTGGCATTCACAGGTAGGAGGATTCGACGGAGTCAACCGGCTCCGCACTGCGGAAGCCTACAGCCCAGCTGCCAACACGTGGCGCGTTGTCCCCACCATGTTCAATCCTCGCAGCAACTTCGGCATTGAAGTGGTGGACGACCTCTTGTTTGTAGTCGGTGGCTTTAACGGATACGCCACGACGTTCAACGTTGAGTGTTACGATGAAAAAGCCGACGAGTGGTTTGACGCTCAGGACATGAGCATCTATCGCAGCGCTCTGAGCTGCTGCGTGGTGCCAGGGCTGTGCAACGTGGGGGATTACGCTGCCAGGAGAGATTAGCGTGGAGCCCTCGCAGCAAGGGGAGGTCGGAGGCTTTTCTCCACAGAGCCCTGCCTGCACAAACAGCTCCAGTTAGCCAATAAAGTCTTCTAAGCAGCAAAAGAATGCATTCGCTTAATCTGAAAGAAGACAGGATTGATTCTCACTAAAATAACTAGTAAGTGAAACTTTAGTTCCATGGCACACACAAAAAAAGACAGATGTGATTTAGAGGTGTTGGTTACGCCTTGTTTAGCAACTCAAAACCAGTAACAGGGTGCGATGCACAACAGAATGCTAGAGAAATAAAAGGTTTATTTTTGTTAGCTCACTTCTTACAATAAACTCTAGTACAGTGCATTGTATGTGAGGAACATCACAGCGGGAGTGTTTCCAACAGCCTACACAGACACTACTTTACCTTACTGGAAGTTAAGTACAGGAGTGCTGCTTGCCCAAGCATTCTCTTGAAGTCTACATGAACACTGAGTACAGCTGCCGTGATCCACAGTGACACGGACCTATGAGGAGTATCTTACTATTAATGGTCTTCAAACATCGAATTAGCCCCACACTTTACATTCATGTTAGTAATAGGATTGGATCCTCAGAAGCACCTGTTCTATCAGACTTCCACTTAAGACTGTCAGATCAGAGATACCACTTATATTCCCAAATAATTTGGGCACAGCTGAAAATAGATCCAAGCCATCCAACAGTTTGAGCCCAGTGAGTGCTGCAACGTGGGATTAAACGCTGTGATAGAAATAACCTAAGAAGCTGCTACTCTTTGTGACCCACTTTGTTAATAGTGACCAACCCAGGACAGTTTTTTATAAAGCATGCTGGAAAATTGGCATGTTTTCTCTATTTCTGGAGTAACCCTACTGTGTGAGGAAATCTTATTAAAATATATATACAAAACTAGCATAGTAACAGAATATCCAAGTCCTTATAAAACATATGTACATCTATGGCACCTACCTAGGAATGACTGCAGGGAGCACGCAGTGCCAGGCAGCACGTGTCCTACCTCACTGACAGCTGGAGCAGACAGATGTGCAACATGCATTGTGTGGCATGTGTCCAATACAGCTATGATTGTCTTAGGGAGGAAAAACACCACCTGATGTTCCTTTGCAAGGACAGAAATCAGCCTTGTAGTGCTTCACACACACTAGAATCTTACTGACATTAACTACCCACTACACACGGAAGGATTCCCAAGCTGTTGCTTATAGGATTACTTTAAAACAAGCACTCAGCAAGCTACAGCACTGAGAGCCAGAATGCATCTGTTACACGAGTCACAGGTTAGTGAGCAAAATTACAGCCAGATTCAATTCTTCTCAACACCTACAGGTGAGGCAGAAGACAGTGGGACTCATCAGTTACAAACTGTGTAATGCAGCTGGTCAAGGCTATAAAAATCCAACCACTGAACAATTCCATAGCGTTGGCCTTGCACAGGTTAAAGCAAACCAGTGCTGTCGCAATGCCATCACTCCCCATGCAAACAGAACACAGAAATACAGTGCATCACATACAGAACCATGGCTGGCATTCACAGGTTACTTAGTTGTTCTGATGCCTTTCAGTGGAATGTCTTTAGGAAACAAGATAGCTCGTATGTCAGATTGAGGTCCTGGTAAGTGCAGGTATGAGTTTTGCTTAGAAAAAGACCGCCAGAAATTTCTTCCTGCACCCAACTTAGCTGCACGCTGCATCGCGCTGTTTATATTCCAACCAAACCACAATTTCAGTACTTTCTCCCATAAATTGTCCCAGATTTGTTGACAGAGTGCCTAAGGGCTCCAACGGAGCTGCGGTGGGCTGACAAGGTCGTGTCCTTTACTCATCATCTCCCTGCAGTAAAGTCAGCAGGGAGGGAACACATAAACTGTTCTCACTGCTTCTGTGCAAAGTGCCTTAAATTCAGCTCCCGCTGCAATTAAACCGTAATTCCAGCATTGAAGCTGTGAGGCATTTGCACACAGTCTGCTCACAAACCCTCCTATGGGGGCAGTAATTCTTAACCTACTCCAGCCAAACCAGCCAGAGCTCATGGGCCAAACTCCATGGATGCAGCCCTTCCTCAAGGGCCTGCAGGAGCTGATTTGGCAATGGTCGTTACTGAACATCAGCCTTAAAGCTCAATAAGTTTAACCATTTCCTCTCTTGCACTAAACCAGCCCTGTACAATTTAATCTGCCACTGCACAGCAACGTAGCAGGCAAATCAAATACAGGATGGTTTCTACTGAGAAGTAATTTGAAACGAACTGTTAAGGTTTTCAAGATAATTTTTACGAGGCTGTGTTTTTCTCCCTTACAAAAGGACTGCTGATGTCAGAGTGGCAGGTGAACTAAGAGGAGCATCAAGGATATTACAGACCACAGAAACCCTTACACGTTATGCGACTGAAAGACTTACCCTTACCCAGGGTCTCAGATATGATCTAGGTTGCCTGCTGAATTGGAAAATGAGAAGGATCAGTTCAGAAAGCTAAACAACAAAAAACAGAAGCACAACAAAACAAAAAAATGTTCAGAAGACCTTTTTTGAAGGAGTTGCCCGCATCAAAAGCCCCAGAAAATTATCACAGGAACCAGAGACTGCACACAGCTCCTCCACTGTTTGTCAACTCAAACTTTGCAGCGCCCTGCTGGCACCTCCCTTGCCTTCCATTCCCTTCCCTTCCCTAATATCCTGAGTTGGGTCACACGTGAAAACCTGGAACACTGAAACAAAGGGAAGGATGAGGAAGAAAAGGAGGCAGGAGGGATGCACTGAACCAGTAGTAACAGCTGTCCTGGAGCTCCTCAGATCAGGGAGGTGCTTGGCAGGACAGATGATTCTCCAAAGGAACGATTTGACCTTCTGTTTCCCGGGGTTGAAGCACTTACAAACCAGAGCCAAGCGGGGCACTGACTGATGGAAAACCACAGCACAGCACCTGTAATCAACGGAAATGTTAGTCTCTAAAAATATTTAGAGACTGTACAATCTCCAGCTGCATCTCGGAGTCTGCATGCCATCCTCAGCAGTGCCCCCCCTGAGAACACCAAGCACTGGTTTGTTGAGGAGCACTGCAGCACAGCTACTGAGAGTCCCGTGGGAAAGACACTGAAGGCCAGAGGTGCTGATTGTCAAAGACAGGCTGCAAACAGGCGTGTGGGGGTTCTTCCAAACACTCCTTCACTACAATTAAATGCGTTCAGCATTTGAGAAAGCACTGACAAGTAGCTCAAGTTTCAATCCGCTCCTGTGGGATAATGGCATTCTTACTAATCCACACAGACAGAAGGGACTGACTTTGGTCCATGACTGCTCTGCTGGCTCTCTCCTTTGAAGCTCCTAAGGAAACTCAAAGCCTCCCCAGATGCGCCTGAAAAAGATCACTGCCTCGAGTTCTCTTCTAGCAAGTGTCTGACGTTCTGCTCATCAACCATTCACAAATGAACACACAGCCTCTCTACAACGTACGGACACACAATATTCATTAGACATAGAAACATCCTGAAGTAACTCCACAAAGAGAGATTGTGCTTTCATTTCCACATGTAGTTATTAACTATTGCACTCGCCTCCGACTTGAGAAAGCCAAGTACACTAACATTGATTACACGTGTAGTTTAGTCACTGAGGAGAATCAAAGGAATGTCAACATACTGAGTGCAAATAAAGCAGGTGCTTTCAGCACACACGAATGTAACCACTAAATTATTAGAGAGATCTTTGATTTTCAAAATAGAACTGTAGGAGACCAACTCCACAGAAATCCTTGAAAACAAAGATCTGTGTCACAGTCTGGTACAGGAAAGCAGCTTTTTCCTGGGCACTGTTAAGTAGTATTGGTGGATTCAGTTTCTCAATTCCCATTCATCTTCAATTTCTGACCTTTGTAACTTTCAGTATATAAAAGATGCCACTTTTAGATGTCAAACCTACTCAACGCCCTGATGTCTTCTAAAGACATAAAATGCCTCGCAAAATGGTTTAGCACAGTATTTCCTGAACTACCTTCACAAGAGTTGGCAACCCAGAAGTCAGCACTCAATCTGCGAGCGTGGCATTCTTCGCAAGCTCAGGGAGTGTCGGTGTATTTCCTGCATCTGCCTTTCCTGCATCTGTCTGATTCTGTCTTTCTGCCACATGAGGTTCTGCGGCATCGGGTATCTCTGCGTGCCCTGCAGGCACCTGAAGGGGATTCTGACGTGGCAGGCTGTTGCCCTACAGCGAGGCTGAGGCATGGGAGGCAGAAGCATCCAGCGCTTCCTCTCAGCGCAGTAGCGATAGGCCTCCTTCCTGTACTGCTTGTCAATATCATCACTGTTCTTCCACCCCCCAATGATGAAAACATCGTCTTTATAATAACAAATAGCTGCCCCTTCAATGCTAAGGACCTCCGGGGGTAAACTTTCAAGTATCTCATCTGAGGCCCTGCCAGAGATCTTTACCTTGGCTTCTTCATTATCTATAGGGTAACTCTTGGGGCAGCAGGATGCTGTATGGTAAAAGTTTGTGTTTGCAACTGACATCTGAAAAGAGCAGTAATTATCAATGAGCGGCAGAGACTCTACGTCCTGCCACTGCCTTGTTTCAGCATCGTATCTGATAATAACTGCCCTCAACCCATCTTCACTATCACTGTCAACCGGGGTACGAGCAGCAACATAAACAAACCGGTCTTCTACAGAAACAGCTTTGACGTCACGAAGGATCTTTGGTGCTGACTCCAGGTTATGCCATTTGTCTTGCTCGGGATTATAAACAGCTACATCTTTAAAGCCAGGACTGAAATTGCCATGTCCACCGATACTGTACAAGTTTCCTTTAACTTCAGTAAGGCCAAATGAGTGCTTTCTGGTTATTAAATTTGAGACTTGCTCCCAGATATTTCTGTTTGGATTATACCTTTCTACAGTCTTGGCAAATCCCGGTTCCATGGAGCCAGCCACATAAACATAAGACTCTGTCACAGCAACAGCATGCCCATCGAGATGGTTATGGATGTGCGGCAAGTTTACCCACCTATCTTCATCGATGAAATACCCCACGCACTCACTCAGGTAATCTCCTCCCTCCGACACACCACCGATCACCATAATGACGTCCATGTTTTGTCCGAAACGCGGCAGCAATGCAGCAGGACAGGCGGAATGCTGCAGGTTACCAGACTGCAAGTTCTCAGACCTCAGCGCGTGACTCTCCACGGCGTCTGACACCAGCCTGACGCAGGCCTCGTTGCTGGACACCAGCCTCTCGGATTTGACGTGGCGCGTGAGGTACGTGGGCTTCATCTGAGACAGCCTCAGCAGCTTGAAGAGTTCCTCGAAGTACCTCTCCCTTTCCTCGGGATTCCTCTGAACCCACTTTAAGACGGTCTCGAAGAGGACTTCTTCGGAGTCCACCGTGATCTCCGAGTCGGACAGCCAGTCCCTGATGAGGTGGAAGGGCAGTGTGTAGAACTCCTCGTCCTGGATGACTCTGTGGAAGTTCCTGCGGATCATGTCCTGCGCCCGCAGCGCCAGCTGGCTCAGCGAGTACATGTGCGCCAGGCTGTGCACCGCCACGCAGTTGGAGAGGTTCAGCTTCTTCTTGAGGAACTCCCCGCAGAACTCCTTCAGCCGGGTCAGCAGGAACCTGCGGGACGAACGGCACACGCGGCGCGAAGGCCGTCAGGCGGTGCCCGCCCGCCCGGCCCGCCCGGCCCGCCCCGCTCACCTGTCGGCCATCTCCAGCACCTCGTGCACGTTGCCAGGGCCGACGCGGATGGCGCCGGTGTACATGAAGCCGATGACGGCCTCCACCGTGTCGGGGTCGGGGCCGCCCTCCGAGCTCCACTTCTGCAGCTCCACGCGGCCCGAACGCGACTCGGCGAAGCCGCCCGAGAGCAGCGGCGCGAAGTACTCGGTGGCGGCCGCCAGCACGGAGCGGTGCGCGCGGAACTCATGGAACTCACGGGCCGCGCCGGGCCGCCCGCCGCCGAACGCCAGGGTGATGTCGCAGTACAGGCCGTGCCGGCGCTGCTCGTTCTGCCGCCAGGCCAGGTCGGAGCAGTGCGCCGGGCACCCGAACTCCTCCGCCTCCGCCTCCCCGTCCGCCCCGCCGCCCCGCGGGCCGCCGCCCTCCTCCTCCGCCGCCGGCGGGCCGGGCCCGGGCTGCGGTTGAGGGGAGGCCGCGGCCGCCGCCATCTTGTCCGACATGGCGGGCCGCCGCCGCGCGCCTGCGCGGCTCTACGCTGCGCCGCCCCCTAGCGGCCGGCGGCGCTGGGGAGCGCGGAACGCGGGCGGGGCGATGGCGCAGTCCGCGCGGAGCGGCGGCTCTCGGGCCGAGGGAAACTTGGGGAGGCTCCGCCTCAACCCCGCGGCCGAGGGAGGCGGCCCCGCCCCGCAGCAGTGGAACGCGGCGCCGCGCGGCACACGGCGGGATGCCGACTGAGCACCGCGCCCTGCGCTCCCCACCGCCTCTCTCTCCGTTTTCTCTCCGTGACGTTTCGGCTCTGGGGCCGCGCCGAAAGGGAGGCAGGGGAGGTTTGGCTGCTTTTACGCCACAGTCGCCACTCAGGAAGCGCCACCCAGCCGAGCAGTAGCGTCATTTATTTGAGCTCGTTACAATACAGAGAGGAGGCTGAAGTCACTACTGAGATCGGGTGAGGCGGAGCCTGGCGGCCCGCAGCAGCTGAGCAGTAAATGAGTTACATAAATACAGGCACTGGAGTAGGTGTAGTTTCACAGTTTAACAGCAGTATATGGTACAACTTTACATCTTAAATTACTACACTGCAGGTTGAGTAACAGAGGTTATAGAGCAGCAGTGGTCCCACTATTCAGAGTACAATTAGACTGATGAACACACAGTAAACAAACAGAAACAGACCCCGAAGCCCGCACTGAACAATCCACAACCCTCAAATCAGCACTTATGGGAACTTCCCCCGCTATCAGGAAAAGCTCAGGACAACTCTGAGCCCCCAGAACCATGAAAAACCTTTCCTGGAAACAAAAATAAAACTAGAATAGGAAAAAAAAAAAAAATAAAGGGTGAGAAACAGTATTAAATACAGCAGGTAACACGGAACAGCACACGTTTTGGCTTTCGATTAAGTTTCTATTCCCACAGAACAGTTGCTTTGCACAGTTTACTAGGCAGCTCCTTGTCTGTACCAATGGCCTTCGTACATCAAAGTCCCATTTCTGGCTGTCCTCTGTGCAGGTTCCCCCCGCTGCTGAGCAGCACTGAGGATCACATGGTCATGTGCTCCGGCAAAACGTAGGAGATGTCGTCCCACGGGTGACGGTACAGACCTTGCTTCAATCTCTTCTGATCCAGGTAGTGTCCTAAAAGGAAAGTCTTTGTTACAGCGCTTCTGAGCCTCCTCCTCCTCATACTCGGCCTTGGAAGGATTTTGATTTCTGGACTCCTACGACCGGTATTTCACAACTGCCAGCCCACACCTCCACCTCTGCCTCCTGTTCATGGCAGCAGGGCACGTCCCTGCAGAAACCACAGCAAACTTACCGATGAATCCCATGCTCCTGCCTAGTACAAAGATGCCATTAAGAGCTCCTATATCAATATATTCATCAGCTTCTTCCCTGGAAGAAAAACAAAGCAACTACTCAGTGTTTGGAAACCCCGGCCCCACACAAGCTGGCAGTATGGCTCCTATTGTTAATTACAGGAGCACAACCCAAGGGAGAAATACTTACCGTGTAAAAGAGCCACAATGCCTGAGCACATCAACAAAGGCAACTCCAATAAAGCCATCTACATTCAGGATAAGATTTGGTTTCTGAAGGAAATACACAGACAAGATGTCAACAATGGGCAGTGATGTTCACCTGTAATTTCCACGCTCGGGGTAATTTGGAGGCTGCCATAGCTGTGGACATGCACACCAAGTGATACAGAAGGCTGACTGTGAGCAATAGCTGTACTTGATGCACATAACGGCCAAGCAGCCCCAGCCAGGTGTGTTTCACTTCATCCACAGAGATTCTCACCCCTCTGCCAGCACCTGTGTGCTAGCCACAAGGATCTGCACTTCCAGACCATGCCAGGTAACTCTGATAACAGGTTTTGTTCTGCTCAGTGCTTTCTTGCTGTCCAAATGTCTTCAGCCTTATTAAACTGTAGCTGCACTTCAACAATTTGTTAAGCTCTGCCATTAAAATACAGCATTAACTCCTCCCCCAGTAAGAAAAAGTGCTTGTGAGCAGATAAATTCCAGCACATTTCACCTTGGAAGTTGTAATTTTTTCCACTTCGAGCGCATAATCCAACAGCGGAGTGGCAGGGAAATGCTGCTTCACGTAGTCTTTGAGAATCTGAACTCTCATGTCTGGGTTGTTTATCTACAAGTCAAAAACAAAGTTAGCAATGCATCTAACAGGCATTTCATGTAAGATCTGCTATTTGTAGCTTCAGAGCTTACAAGTCTGAGAATTCTGCCTAACGCTGCCTCTGAGAGTTGCTGGTTTCCTTGCCTTCATTTCCTCCCCGTTTTTATAAAGAAAACCAGAGCATGCACAATAAAAACACCTCCAATATGTACTAATAGTGCAGTTTGCTTACAGATTTGACTCTGTGTCCAATGCCCATGATCAGTTTCCCTTCTTTCTTCATCTTATTCACAAACTCCATAGGGATAATCCCACTGTCAAAGGCCTTGCTGAACACTTTAGCTGCAGCATCCAGCGCTCCACCAAACCGGTCACCCTGGGTTCAATACACAAAGAGAATTACAGCAAGAACTCCACAAGCAAAGGTCCAAAACAAGCACAGGATCATCTTCCCCCTCCTCCACATCTGCCAGTGTGGCAATTATGAAATTAAAGTTGGGCGGGCGCCTGGGACGAAGTGTTTCATAACTCAAAGAAGCATCAGTGCACAGCACAGCACCCCCACTGCAGGTGGCAGAGGGGAGATCCAATCTGAATCATGACTTGTCAGTTCTAGAGGACATCAGGCAGCCGTGAAGGGACAATTCTGACAGCAATTTGGCTCCTACAGTCTCACACATGAGACAAGATAGTTGTGTTCATGGAAATATGGACTAGATTTCAAACCTAGAACAGAAACTGAACAGTAGGCTTCTTCCAGTAGATTTTCACTTTCATCAGCTGTAAGCATGGAATTTGGCAGAAATTCAGACTATGGATGTGCAGACAGGAGCTAGTGCTTAGCTTGCAGCTGTTCCAAATCCCAGCTTACTGTAATAAATCTAGGACTGAGTAGCATGTAACAAAATCGAATCTTCAGTGCTTACAATAGTAAGAAGGCCTGAAGTGAGACTTGACACAAGATCTTTTCCAGCTCTTGCACAGACAATGGTGTTGTGGGCTCCAGACACAGCAGGCCCGTGATCTGCTGTTACCATCAAACACATCTCAATGAACTGGCAGGCATACTTTGGTAACCTGAGCAAGAGAGAGACTGAAGTCATTTACTGCAGAGAGATCAGAACAACAAAATGCCCAGCGTTGCTCTGGACAGTAACTCTACTTTAAGACAGAGGAGCAGTGGGATCACAGCAGCCATCAGTGCATCCCAGCACCTGTCTTCTCAGAGATGAGTGGAATTTATTCCCTTTCCACTGGAAATATTGAGACCGTAAGACTATAAACTACAAGGCTTCAAGCTAAAGGGTCTGGGCTTCCACAAAAGCTGCCTCACCTCCTTTGAAACCAGAGCAGGCCCAGAACGCCTCCAATTCCCATCTCTTCTTTGAAGACTTCAGTGATTGGCATGCCAGCATAGATCAGTTCCTGCCCTCTCTCATCACAGATGCTTGTCATGAAGGAAGCCGGCTTGCGGATCAGACCCAGCTCCTGGAATCACAGCACAGAGATGATCCTAAACAATCCTCTTCAGAAACAAGGGGCAACAAGACTTAAACTTGCCTTCAGGGCAGGTTCCACAGCCTACAACCAGCGCAGCCAGCAAGCGCACTGACAACACGACAAAGCCTGAGCCAACACCACTGTAATGCTGGACACTGAAAGGACACCAAACATCTTGTCTGGTGCCTATGGAACCTAGAATCAAGTGAAGTAGCATAGCTCACCCGAGCCCAGGAGTAATCCATTGGCACAGTTGGAGGAGGAACTTCCTCAGCTGGCTCAATCACTCTTTTTGCCACAAGATCCTGATAGACAGACCTGGGGGAGAATCCTTTTGTTAATTTAAGTCCTTTTGAATGACAGAAGAGATGCAGCCTTAGTCCAGACCTCGAGAGCCCAGACTAAGCAGGAGTACCAGAGCAGGAGAATATTTCTCAACCATTTAAAGTCAAGCACCCTAGGAGTTTTCATCTCCTGCTTGAGCAACTTACTGAATGACCTCTCCCAGCTCATCAAAACTCCGGGGAACAAACACACCAGCTTCTTTCAGGGCTTGATTCTTTGCAACAGCAGTTTCAGAAGCTTGGTTTGCACAAGCCCCTGCATGGCCAAACTGCACCTACAAACAACAGAAGAGACATCAGTAAGGAATGCAAGTTGGACTGGCTTACAGGTAAACATAACTGAACAGGAAAGTGGTCGCAGGAATAGCAGTGACTGCACAATCTGCCTTCTTGTTTGGCCTGACAGAACTCTTGGCTGCAACTGGCTGCTCTAGGATGCTTGGGCTGCATCTATGAATGCACTGAATTCTTTGGAGCCCTCCAGTGGCAAATTAAATAAGCACAAAAAGCTTTTATTATTGATACTTCTGCATGCTTCTCTGCTAAGGCTTAGGTGGGAGGAGCTGGCTTTCTTCCCCTCCTGTCACAAATAAATATACCCCACTTCTGCACGTACCTCTGAAGAAAACATGGTGGCACAAGTACCAATACACCAGCACACCACTGGCTTGGTGATGCGGCCTTCTTTAATACCCCTACAGATCTTGTACTCTTCTGTGCCTCCAATCTGTAGGGAGAAAGAGAGTTGAGCTCTTTCAAAAGCTTTGCTTTTTTTGTTGTTGTTTGAAACCAGCTCTGAGATGCACATGGAAACACTTCTTGGTCCTGCTGCACTGAATAATGGCTTCAGTCTCAGAATAAAGTCTGTTTTTAAAGTGAGACTGTGTTGAATGCATTCAATTTCTTCTGATTAAAGAAGCAGGAAATAAAACTTCAGATTTCTAATAACAGTATGAACAGCTGCCACTTAGTTATAGCTGCTACTTACTATTTATTCTTGCTGCTAGGTCAAACTCA